TGTGTTTGTGACTGTGTCTCCAGCACCTGGCATGTAGTGCGTGCTCAGTAGATATTTGTTGAACAAATGATATAAAAAGCTCTTCTATGATAGCCACGGGGAGCATAAGTAGTAGTCCCTCCATCATCTTTGCCTTCTACACTTTTGTGCTTTCAAGGTGACAGAAGTATAGAAAATGGGCATGGTGACGCACGCCTTTAATCCCAGCACTTGGGAGGCAGAGGCAGGTGAATCTTTGAGTTCAAGGCCAGCCTGGTCTACAAAGTGAGTTCCAGGACAGCTGGGGCTACAAGGAGACCCTGTCTCAGAAACTCCAAAACAGGGGAGCTGGAGAGATGGCTCAGCAGTTAAGAGAACCAGCTTTTCTTGCAGAGGAGTGGGGTTCAGTTCCAAGCACCTACATAGTGGCTAAAAACCATCTGTAGCTCCTGGACCCCTGGACTCTTCTGACCTCCAAGGGCACTGCACGACACAGGGTGTACTTACATACAAGCAGACAACACACTCATACTCATAAAATAAACATAATAGATACAGAGACCCCTCTGGACTCTTCTGACTTCCGAGGGCACTTACATACATGCAGGTAACACACTCATACACATAAGAAAACATAAAAAATAAAATATTTTCTTAGAAAAACAAAATAAAACATCAAAAAGCTCCCTCCTACCAAGAAGAGAGAGAAAATACAAAAAGATACTATATAGGTCCTATCTAGGAACATGTTTTTGCAGTCTAGGGGAAGGAAGGATTCTAAGGGTCAGGGTTGGTACATGATCATAAAGAAACAGAGTCTTCCAGGCCTCTGGGAACTTGCTCATATGAACTTATGGCAATGGTGACAGTGTGCAAAAGATCCATGCAAACTCAATCATACAAAAACCACATATAGAACTAAGGAAATGGGTAGGAGGCCCCAACCTTATCCAAGGAACTATTGGCAGCTGATTATTGCTGGGTGAGGGAGAACTGATCTTCTTTAAGAGAGAGACTCAAGACAGGCTGAACAGGCTCCAGTGGATGAACTTGCACTGAGAGACATCTGCCTACTGTCTTGACAGGCCTTAGCATATATGACAAAATACATGAAATCTGGTCATGGGACACATGGATGGGGGAGGAAGTATAAAGATTATCAAGATGTTTTGTGTAAAGAGCACAAAAATTCAATAAAATATACATTAAAACAAAACAAACAAACAGAAGGCTGATATACACATGCTACAGAAAACAATTAAGTCAGAGGTTGGACAAGGGCATGTGTGTTAAGATGATATGTCATGTAGGCGACAGAGAAGACCTTGTGGAGAAAGGGATATTCGAAGAGGCCTGAAGGAAGTTGGAAGATATGATCTATATAGATTTCTAGGACAAAGTATTTCTGGCAGGAGGGACAGTTATGGGAAGAGGTCCTGAGGCAGGAGAATGCCTGCTGGTTGGAGAACAGGAGGCCAGTGTGGCTGGAGCCTGAGAAAGCCAGGGTAGAAAAAAAATAATGAGATCCTGGAGGGGGAGAGGCTGGATCAGGTAGAGCTCCTCCTTTCCCCCCATATCTTTTTTATCCTTTCCTTCTTTTTGGAGACAAGATCTTGCTATATAGCCAAGCTGGCAAGGAAGCCTCCTGCCTCAGCTTCCCAAGCAGCTGGGGATATAGGCATATACCTGTGTACCTGGCCAAGGTAGCATTTCTCAAACTTGACTATGTCTACAGGTCTCCTGAGGATGTGATAGCATACAGGTTGTAAAGCCTGTGGTAGAGCACTCTGCGTTTTACAAACTTCCCAGGAGATGCCCATGCTGTGGGTGCATGGACTCTTCCAGGATCCAGGGTAAGCCTGGTGGTTTAAGATAAACAAGTAGCCTTTCTCTGGAGGGAATGGACGGGACTGACTAGCTCTGAGTGCAGACAAACTTCGTTTGACCTTGTTTTCTTTTTCTTTTCCTTCTGCTTTTTTTTTTTTTCCTTTCAGATGTTGGGGATGGAACCCAGGGCCTTGCACATGCTAAGAAAGAGTTCTACCACTGAGCCACATCCCCCAGGCTTAACCACCGTTAAGAAATTGCACTGGCTGCTGGTTAGACCATAGAGGAATAGGGTGGAAGCAATTAGAAGCCTACTGAATGATCCAAAGAGCTGAGTATGGTTCAGATGGGGGACTGGTGGTTGCAAGGGCAAGTGAGGAGGATTGAGGCATACTATTCTGAAGGTAAGTCCCAGAGGTTTGTTGACGGATTGGTAAGAGGATGTCTAGGATAACAGGGATATATGACCTCTGAGCAATGAGAAAATATATTCCTCTTCCCTGAGCTGGAAGACCAGTGTTTGAATAAAGAATCTCTGGGACACCGGGCTGGAGAGACGGCTCAGCTGTTAAGAGCACTGACTACTCTGGCAGAGGACCCGGGATGGAGTCTTAGCACCCACATGGTAGCTAACAACCATCCTCAACTCCAGTTCTAGGGGAATCTGACACCCTCTTCGGGCATTGCACGACACGGGTGCACTTAACACACATGCAGGCAATATACTCATACACATAAAATAAAGATAATAAATAAAATATAAAATAAGAATCTTCAGGACACAATATGCTCAAGAGGTTAATTGGACATTTGAATAGTCCTGGAGATGCACCTTGGTTGGTAGGACAGGGTATGGGTAGGATTAGAAGTTCAAGGCCATTCAAGTTCAAGGCCATCCCTAGCTCAAAAAACAAAACCCCAAACACAACATTTGAATATGGAACTAAGAATGGAGGGAAAATTCTGGTTATAAATACCAGCTTGGAAGTCAGAGGACAGAGAGCTGATTCTTGTTGCCAGGCAAGCAGAAGGAAAGGGTGGAGAGTTAAAAACTGACCCCAGGACACCTTGAGGGCAAGGAGATAAAGTGCAAGAAGTACAAAAGGAGACATAGAAACTGGCAGAAGGAGGACCATTATATTTAAGCTAGTTTTTGTTCCAGCTATCCACAGCTGAGTAACAAAGTTACAAACGTTTGCTACATCTTCCAGCCCAGTGATTTGACAAGGAAGATCTTTTACACTGACAGTGAGGCCTCCATAGTGGGGGTACAGCATTCAAGGTAGAGGCACCTCTGTCCAGGGCCAGTCTTGGCTGTGGGCTGTGGCAGCTCTCTTCTCTATGTGTGATCTTTGTTGACCAGAAGGCAGGACCAGTTTCCTCACAGTATGGCAGCTGCAAGCCAAGAAAGCAGGATTTGGAGCTGCTGGGGGCTTCAAGCTCTAGCTAGAGCCTGCCAGAGCATCACTTCTGCCAGGTCCTACACACTACAGACAACACTGACTCAAGGACAGAAAGCCTGGTTCCTTTCATTTTGAGAGGGATGGGAGTGCTGGAGATGGAACTTACACCTTGTGCACACTAGTCACATGTTCTGTTACTGAGCCACACACCCAGCTCAGCCTCCTTACCTTGATGGAGCAGGAAGATTTCAAGTATACACTAGGGGAGGAAGAGTTGGTGGCCATTTCTCAGACACTGTCTATGATCTTTCTCTTATTTATAACTGTATATGCTTTATTAAAATCGGAATTTACTGGTGTATTTGGAAGCACTAGGTACTAGCCTTCCTCTTCCATTAACCAGCCATGTGCTCTTTAGTCTTTTTCTTTGGGCTGCTTCCTTATTTATTTCAACAGGGGTGTGACAGCACTAGTCAATCTTTTGTTTTGTTAAGGCTTTGTTTTGCTAAGGCTTTCAGTTTCTGGCCCTAGCCAAGTTTTTGTTTTGTTTTGTTTTAGGATGGAGTCTTGTAATGTTCCAGGCTGGTTTCAAACTTATGGTCCCCGGGAATCCTTCTGCTTCAACTTTCTGAACAGCTGGGACTCCAGGACCGTGCCACTGAGCCTGACTTAGGTAACTTTTAAACTAAGAAGGGCTTGGCTGAGTGTAGGCCATGTGTTTGCACTAGCTTCTTGGCACTGCTTCTCAGCCCTCCTCAGCAGCTCACCACAGCAGCCCCTCCACGGAGAGGCTCTCTCTGCAGCTGTCTCAGTCAACAGGAAGAAGTCTTTGCCACCCCAAAGAACTCAACAAACTAGTTTTCCAAAATCCCCCTGTCCTGGTGCTTATTTTATTATGTGTTCACGTCTTGGCTGTTGAAACATTTAAGAACTTGGTTTCTTAACAACAAAAACTTCATCTCCATGATAGAACTTGGAGTGCTCAGCGTCAGCCAGGGCCAGACCTCCTGTAGACTTATACTGATTCGTTCTTCACAACTTCCGAGAGGACATTACTTCAGAAAACTCCCACCACCCCACATCAGATGCCAAGGTTAAAAGGGCCTTTGGCCCCTCCCAGGGCAAGAAGGACAGAGGCCAGCGGGTGGGCGACACGAATGTTGGCCCTCAGACTACAGACTCAGGCCTTCACGGCACCGTTGGCAGAGGCGTTCTTCTCAGAGGCACACCTGGAGATGAAAACTTCGACCTTAGCCTCTCAAATGATGACCTGGCGGGTCAACGAACCCATGAGCGCTTCGCTCTCTCCCAACACGCGTCGTTTCCGTTGGTGTCAACGCCTTCCCACTTCAGAGGGCGGCCAGCGCCTCTGCCGAGACTGTACCACCCACGCAACAGTCCACACAGTCCACACAGTCCACGCAACAGACCAGCCTCAGTGCACACTCACGGGTGCGCCCCTCGCCAGGCGGCTCCCCTTTTCCTTCGCAGGGAGAAGGGGTGGGACCCTAGCGGGCTCAAGGAAGCAGCTTCAGCCGGGGAGGAGTGGGCGGTGGCTTGGGGCGGAGCCGGGGCGGGGCCGTGGAGACTCCTAGGGGCGCCCGGGCTCCGCACCCGCCGCGGGGC